GGGGGGGCAGGTTACATCTTGCTTCTCTGTGGTCTGGGCAGGAATGGAGGAGTGGGCTTCCTCCTTCCTAGCATTCTCCTGTTCTCATCACCCCGCCTTTACTTCCTGTCTGGTTGACCTGCCTATACTTCCTGCCTGGCCAATCAGCGTTTTATTAAAATACATGATTGACAGAATACAGATAATTCTCCTGTACCAGAAGAGTTAGGGTACTGAGCATGTAGGTGAGACTGGGGTTGGAGAGGCTTCCTAATTGTATGGTGGTGCTGGGGTCAGGGACTCTCAAGAGAGCATGTCCTGAATCTTCATAGTAACACTAATGAGTACAGTTTGGGTGTTTGCATGTGCTGGAGACTTCATTACTTTCTGGGTTTTTACACATGGAGTTTGTACTTGAGGGAAAAACTGGGTCCTCTTCTTCAACTGTACTACAACTGTCAGTGTTCTAGAGAGAGAGATTTCCAATGACCTTCAATTGTTCTTGTTATAATTTTGAACACAAAAATAATCTTTTGGGTACTGATACTCAGAATGCTATATTTACTAGAAGTTATTTACAATCATGAGTTAAAGTTTTCCTTATTCTTTTTAGATAACATGAAATTCCCTATTTCAATTACTTCTGAACCCTGTGTAACATTGAAGGGAAGCAGCGGATTTGTATATATTAACTTCATTCCAAGTAAGTACAAATACAAACTTTCATTTTTGTAATTAGCTGAAGGTTTGTAGAAATCCAACCAGAATAATTCTGTTCCAGATATATTTGTGTTTGTTATCTACTGCTCTACTATAAGTTACCACACTCTTAGTCTAGTGACTTTAACACAGCACTTATCTACTGTCTTTGTGTGATAGTGTCTGAGTATGGCTTACCCATGTTGTCTGGGGGCCCCTATAACCTGTAATCAAAATGTTGACTACGTTTGGGGTCGACTATGGAAGGAACTCCTTTTAAGCTTGTGTGGCTGTTGGTAGCAGTTTCTGGATTCTGGCTGTTGGCTACATGGACCTTATTATCGTAGCTGCTTGCTTCACAAAACTGGCAGAGGATAACAAGATGGAAGAATATTAAACGGCTTGATCAAGGAAGTAATAATCTGCCATTTTGTTGTATTTTAGACCAACTCAAAGTCATATGGAGGATTTTACAAGGACCATAGGTTAGAAATTGGAATAGCTTCAGCCTTCTAATAATCTATGGCCCTTGTCAACCATTACCTATTCAGTTGTGAGAGACACTGAGTTTCAGTTGGAAAATCTGTGACTTTTCTCCCCTGAGACTTGGTTTATCTGTATAAGCCTGACTGTCCTGAAACTCCATCTGTAGACCAGGCTGGCCTTGAACTCACAGAGATGTGCCTGACTCTGCCTCCTGAGTGATGGGATAAAAGGCACGCAAGTCTGGCTCTTAGGAAATGTAATTTTGATCTTTAGCACTATGGTCTTTATTCTCAGCAAAGACTTGGAGCATGTTTTATACTTTACAAAGTGCTACCATGTGAATAACAAACTTTTATAAAAGACACATTTTTCATTATTTTACTTATGTGTATGTGTGTATGTCTATCTATCCATGTGTTTGCCATATGTGTGGGTACCTATGGAGGCCAGAGCAGAGTCTTAGATTCCATGGAACTAGAGTTAGAGATGGTTGGGTGAATGCTGGGAACTGAATTTCTGTCTTTGGAAGAGCACTCTTAACCACTGAGCCATCTCTCTAGTATAGTAGCCATCTCCCTAATACCACTATTTTGTTGTTGTTATTTTTTCTCTTTCCTTCTGCTTTTGAGAAAAGGTGTCACTATATAGCCCAGGCTGGTCTAAAACTTACAACACAGAACAAATGGTCTAGGACTTGTGACAACCTTCTTGTCTCTGCCTCCCCAGTGCTGGGATTATATGTCTGTCCACTATGTCCAGTATCATGTAGATAAGCTTAAAGAAACATTTCCTCTTCCTCAGATTATAGTTCATAAGGAAAAAGGCTGATTGAGAAAGAAACTGGGTGTGGTGGTACCTGCTTTTAATCCCAGCACTTGGACAGAGGCAGGTGAATCTCTGTGAGTTCAAGACCAACCTCATCCACATAGTGAGTTCTAGGACAGACAGGCTACATAGTGAGACCCTGTTTCAGTCAGAGACAGTGATGATAGATAGATGATAGATAGTTAGATAGATAGATAGATAGATAGATAGATAGGTAGGTAGGTAGATAGGTGATAGTGAATTTTAGAATGATAAACAAAATTGGCTGTTAGTTTTCCTGAATCTAATAGTTGAAATTTTGCTTTGATACATTGACTCTGCATTCACTCACTCCTTAGGGGGAATCAGACAGGTTGTAGGACAACTGACAAAGGGAGGGAGCAGCAGCCCAAAGATAGGAAGGAAGAAGGGTCTAGAGGTTCTGTTAAGTTCAAGCCTTGAGGCTGGGGTAAAGCTCAGTGGTAAAGTCTTAGCTACTGTGTGAGCTCCGCTGCAAGAATCTGTCAGTGCCACAGAAGAGACAAATCTCAGGCTAACTTGTTGGATAGGGAAAATGATAGCTGGAGACCTTCATGGCAGCAGAGCAAAAGTGATTCAAGCCTATTTAGCAATGGGTAAAAAAAAAGAGTAGAAATTTTAACCTGCAGTTTCAAGGGCTCTGCAATTCCTTTTTTATTGTCCCCAGACTCTGGTGGTCCTTATCCTCAGGTGTTAGCATGTGATGATTTACTTTCAGGTGAATCCTTTCCCCTTAAACAATGTTGTATTTCCAATCCCAAAGAATAATAATAATAAAAATACATGTCAGCATTTAGAGTTCTCTGAAAGGCAGAGTCCAAGAAGGAATTAAAAATCCAGATAATTTGGGGGTGCTAACTAAGCCCTTGTAATCATAGGGGACAGGAGGAGGAGGATTGCTTGAGCTCATGAGTTTGGTGAGGTCATGGTTCAAACTCAAAAAGGATCATAAAAACTCACCCACCCACTCAACCTTTTAACCAACCAACTGAAAAGTGTGGGGTCCCTCTGTAGTCACTCTGGTAATTGAGCCAGCGACTGGCCCTGGCTGAGGAGCGGAAGTGCACAGCTCCCCACCCAGCCCCTGGTCCTGGAGACAATCAGATGCAGCGAGGAGCTGAGTCAAGCTAAGCACGCAATTTATAAAGCAAAAACCCACAAATCCCAGAAGAAGCGGAAGGGGAATTAGCAGTCACGTCCGTATGAGTAGCGGCTCCTATAGCTCCTAATCTTATATAGAGATCATGAGGTCATCAGGCATTTTACATTGTCTTACCCCATCTTTAACTCCAATTACGTTTTTTGTAAACAAGTCAGGTCTTCTCCCCGCTTGCTCCTCTTCAGCGTTGTCTTGGCTGGGAATATTTTTTGCGGGCATTGTAATGTCACTGTTTTTTTTGAATTTCTCACCTTTTTCTAGCTGTTAAACTTTTGGTAGGTGCTACGTTTTTTGGCATAGCTGTCACGCTTTTGGCGTAGCTGTCATGCTTTTGGCGTAGGTTTCACGCTTTTGGCGTAGCTGTCACGCTTTTGGCGTAGCTGTCACGCTTTTGACGTCAGCTGCACCTTTTTCTAACTGTCACTGCTTTTAGTGCTAACTTGGCCACTCCAGCCTCCTAGATGCTCGATTCAGCTCACAGAAACACAAAGGGAAATGGAAGAGCGTTAGAATGATCATCGATCGAAATCACTTTTGAGACACTCTCAGTCAAGTCCTTGAGAATTCCTCAGTATAAAGATTGCCTGTCGCAAGAGTTCCACGGTGAAGACTTGAGGTAGCAATTATGAGCACTTGCTGCTCCTCTAGAGACCAGAGTTCAGTTCCCAACATCCACATGGAGCAGTTCACAACCTCCTGTAACTTCAACTCCAGGAGATTTGATTTCCTCCGGCTTTTGTGAGCAACTGCATCCTCGTACGAATATTCTCACACAGACACCTATATACAGAATTAAAAATAAATCAGGGACTGGAGAGATGACTCAGTGGTTAAGAGCACTGGCTGCTCTTGCAGAGGACCTGGGTTTGAGTCCCAGAACCCAAGTGGTGGCTCACAACCGGCTGTAAAATCCAGTTCTAGATCGAATGCCCTCTTCTGGCGTCTGAGGTACCAAGTGGCTTACAATCATAGGCAAAACATCCAAACATATAGAAAAATAAAATAAAATAAAAAAATTTTTATTAAAAAAAATCAGGAGCTGGGTGTGGTGATTCACACCTTTAATACCAGCACTCAGAAAGCAAGGGAGGAGGATGTCTGAGTTTGAGGCCAGCCTGGTCTACATAGAGTTCTAGAACCATCAGGGCTGCATACTGAGATCCTGTCCCCAAATCAACCAACCAAGCAGTCATTTCATGACTTATAAGAACAGCTTGACTCAAGGGCACTTGAGGTACTCGATCATTTCAGGGTCAGCCTGTAGCGGAGTGCTAAACAGATCTAAGGTTCTGTGGCAACACACTGTCTGCTAACTGCCCTCCTTACAACAGTTTCTCTAGCAGGAAATTTGAGTGGTACACCTTCATTGCTGCCACAAATATGTTATTATTCACTTGATATCACATAATAAACTATACTAATCCAGTAATGAAATAATTATTCAGTCATTTTTTTAATAGTGCTTCACAATTATGATCCCTAGAATCTACTATAATCTCTGTGAAGCATGGAGCCCATTCATAAAACCAGGCTTGTTTTATGGTTTTATTTCTACATAAATTTGCTAAGAGCGATAATTGCTAGGAATAATCTTAAGACGAGCCTCTCTGCTGATGCAGATAATTCCAATCGGACCAAATTAGGCCAAATCAATGCCCATGTTTACTGCCAGGCTCCCGGGTGGTGGGGAAAGCATGGCGAGGGAAAGCGGGGAGGGGTAACCATGCAAAACCTGCAGACCACGTGTTCTTTTTTGTTTGTTTGTTTGTTTCTTGTTCTTTTTCTCAGCAGCAGCCTAAATAGCTTGTGGCTGTGGTCCTGATCCTCCCTGGGGTGGGGTCAGTGCTTGGTGGGCTTTTCCCAGAGGTGGAGTCCAGACCAACGCAACTTCCAGGGGAGGGAGCGTGAGATGGAGCTTTCTGCTCCAACGGCACCCCAAGGATGAATGCCTGGGGCTGGGGTGATGCTTCCAACCCAAACACCCCAGAGTCCTTGGATATAGGAGTGTCAGGGGGCTGGGGTCTCACTTTTGACCAAACAATAGTTTATAACTCTGAGTCAAAAACTGATGGGGACGGAGATGATATCTTGGGCACTTCTCAGGCTTGCTAGCCGGTCTCTGTGTAACAGAAACAAACCTATGAACACACCCTGTAGTCGGTCCCTTCACTGTTATTTCTGGCAATTCCTGGAGATGTCCTGGGCATACTCAAAATTGTTTACCTTGTTCTGTCACAATGACCACTCTGTTCCTCACCCCCATCCCCCTACCCCACCACACTATTGCCAGTGAAGTAGAACACAGTAGAAAAGATTAATTATTAGATGCAGATTTATTGGTTTATTTAGTGTTTTGTTTGAAGCACTGCCTACTCGCCAAGCATGACTCCACCTGCTGCCCGAGACAGGCTGACCTGGAGAAAAAGCCAAAACCATTGGCTGCAGCCCTTCACACCCTGCTGACTGCACATATGCCTTTTGCTTGCTTGCCCACCCCACTGTGGTTTTAAGGTATGAAATGAGGATGCAGCTGGAAGCAAGACCAACTAGGATCAGATGGAAGACAGGATCGGTCTCGGCTTGAGTTCACTGTGACCTCTTTCTTCCAGTCTCTTTGGTGTCGGAGGACTTTTCCAGAAAGATTTCTATAACACCAGTTTGACGCTGATGATGGGGAATCCCCTTTGAGTTTGTTGTGTGAGGGAAATGAGAAACGTTTGACTAAGGATGTAGAATAGTATACGGCCATGTCGCACCTAAAGCCAGGAAGAATGTTCAGGGTGCAAACTGAGGACTAAGGATGAACCGTAAGAGAGGAGACTCAATGACACAGAGGAGTCGGAGATGTGGGTGGACAATGGAAAGCTGGTAGAACCAGCCTCAAAAAGGGGCCAGGAGAAGGATCTGGCAATTCTGTCAAGCACAGCCAAGTTCAGTCTGAAGATGGAAAAGCTGCTTTTTATTGTCCTACAGTGATTTATGATGAATTTATCATATCTTTACTCCCAGCATTCAGAGGCAGGGGCAGGTAGATCTTTTTGAATTTGAGGTCAGCTTGATCTACCTAGTGGTTTTCAGGACAGTCAAGGGTACACAATGGGACCCTGTCTTAAAAAAAGGCTATATCTATGTATGTTTATATACATATATATAAAACATTATAATATTATATATAATATTATACATCTTGGGACAAATGAATAACTCTGGAGAGTCAGAAAAATGTATATTTTACTGGAGATGATGTATCCTCTATCTATGTACCATCTATCAATCTATCTATCCTATTACTGGGGATTGAAATCCCACTTGCTATGGTAAGCACTGTACTTCTGACCTCTGTAACACCTCAGTCCTTTTTACTTTTTGTTTTGTAACAAGGTCTAAGTTATCAAAGGTTTGCCTTGAACTCACTCTGTAGACCAGACATTTTTCCAATTTGTGATCTTTCTTAAGTCTTCTTTTTCTTGTTATTGTTATTATTGGTTTATTTTATTTGAGCCAGGGTCTCTTGAACTCAGAGAGATGGGCCTGCCTTTGCCTCTCGAGTGCTAGAATTAAAGGCATGCACCAATAGACCTGGTTTTCAATTCTAGTTTTTAGACAATGTTCATCCAAACTCCAAAAGCTGATGAGCGTATGATTCCCAGTTCTTCCCTTTCCTTTAAATTTTCTGGGTGAGCTTACCAAAGCTAGAAATTTTACATCTTTTGTAGTTGTCGTCACAATTTGAGATTTTTTTTTTGGTGGTTGGGGAGGGGATATTTTGTATAGCTGTCACTGTGGGACATTCAATTTTTCTACAAAATTGCCTTCTTAGAACTTTAGTTTTATCACTGGAATAAAGATACTAACACCTTGGGGCTAGAGAGATGGCTCAGAGGTTAAGAGTACTGGTTGTTCTTCCAAAGGTCCTGAGTTCAACCATCTGTAATAATATCTGGTGCTTCTCCTAGCGTGCAGGGATCCACACAGGCAGAACACTGTATACATAGTAAATAAATATATTTTGTTTGTTTGTTAAGGAAAGATACTAATAACTTCATAGTCATGATGAAGCAATGTAGGAAAAGAGCACACGGCACACACTAACGCACAACAAACACTCTGTACAGAAGCACACCTTACTGGAGGGACTAATGGGATCTCCTTCTTCTTTTTAAGGGAGAGACTTAAAAAAATTATATTTCAACCTCTCCATTCATGTCAACTCCGTAAAGTTGCCGGCGCGCGAAGAAACTATTTGCCATGGATATGATGACAATTATTCTTTTTGCAGAGCTCTGAAGGGAGGTAAGCATTTGGCTGGTAGAGTAGACCATGATTCTTTGTGAGGCTGTTAGGACAAGGAAACACGGGAAGCATGAAACTCCTTTACTGATAATAATGCTCGGTTTCCTGTAGGTGGAGATTTTCTATCCCGACTGCCAGTTCACAAATAACTTACAAATGCTTGGGCAGCTCGGGCTTATTACAAATTAGCTCTTACATTTTAAATCAACCCATATTCTTTATTTACGCTCTGCCACATGGTAGTGCCTTTATTAGCATGGCACGCTCATCTCCTGCTCCTGCTGAATCTCGCTGGCGACCCCTCTGACTCTGCCCTCCTTCTAGTCCTTAGTTTGGTTGTTCCACCTTTACTTCCTGCCTGGTTACTGGCCAATCAGCTTTTTATTCACAACGAGAGCAACACATTTTCAGTGTACAGGATTACTCCACAGCAAGTTCCCTCTGAAATTTTACTCTTTAAAGCATATTTTACAGTAGTGTCCACATGCCATTGCTAAAATGGTGCAGTGTGGATGTGTTTGCAGGGGTAATAAATTCTTACCTTTTTAGATGAAGGTCTCACATTTACTCTTGGCTATTGATGTCTTTTTCTAAACATTGCATGTAGAGCTTTCTATAGGCACTTGTCTGGTTTTGATTCTGCACTTGTACTGATTTCTTTAATGATCTCCTTTTTGTTTGAATCCTGGAATTGTTATATTATTATTGTCGTTATTGACTTTTTGAGACAGAGTGTCATTTTCACCTTGGATGGTATTGAACTCTGTATGTAGTCAAGGCTGATTTTAACTTCCTAGACTTCATGCTCCATCTCCCTTTTGTTGTTGTTGTTAATGTTAATTTCAGACAGGGTCTTTCTATGTGGCCTGGACTGTCCTGGGACTCACACGCCCACTCTGCTTCCAACGTGCTGGGATTAGAGGCGTATACCACCACATATGGATATACTTTCTTTGGTGGGAGGGCCTACCTCAAAGATTGAAACCAGGATCTTATACATGCCAGGCAAGCATGATATCCCTGATCTATTTATTCAGTTTTCTCAGCTTTCAGTCTGTTAACAGAATAGTAAAATTCAGAATTTGGGAATGTAAAGGTCACTTAATCCAAACTCATGCTTTTTCCCCTTAATAATTTTAGACATTTAAAATAGTTTCAGTACATAAATATCACACTGTTATATTAGCAAAATTGGAAACAATACAATAAAATAGCAATAAAATCTTATTCTAAAAAGCACTTTGGAGCTTTTTTTTTCTTGTGTGTGTGTGTGTGTGTTTTGTTTGTTTAGTTTTTTTTTCTAGGGTATCTCTGTTTAGCTCTAGCTGTCCTGAAATTTACTCTGTAGACCAGGCTGACTTCCACCTCACAGAGATCCACCTGTCTCTTCCTCCTGAGCTGTGGGAGTAAAGGTGTACACAACTACCACCCGGTTCTTCTTAGTTTTTCATTTGTATTTGTTTGTTTGTTTGTTTGTTTCTAGGCCGTATTCCACATTTATCCTTACAGTATGTCTATGACTTTTATATGGCTTAAGAGCTAAAATGTTTGAATGCGGGTGGAATATTTCATAACTGTGGAGGACTGTTTTATGAGATGTCTGTCGGGCGTCCCTCAACACAGCCCTCCTAGAGCTTCTCCGCACTCTTGTCCTTATTTTAGTGGGGTGGTTGTCCGAGTTGCTCTCTGTTAAAACACCAACCAAAAGCACCTCGGGAAGAAAAGTTTCATCTTCCAGCTTCTAGTCTGACACCGGGGGCAGGTAGGACAGGAACTCACAGCAGGATGATGGGGCAGAGACAAAGCTGAGACTGCAGGGGATGCTGCTCAGTGGCCTGCTTCTAGGCTCATGGGGAGCTGCTTTTCCTTTTTTTTTTTCCTTCAAAACTTATTTTAAATTTTAAATGAAAGTTATCCTGCTTCCCCTTTCCTTTGTCTCACCCAAACCTTTCCTAGGTACCTCCCGATCCCATTCTCCCTCAGATTCATGGCTTCGACTTTTTTTGTTATTGTATACACACACACACACACACACACACACACGCGCGCACGTGTGCACACACACGTGTGCACACACATACATATATTCCTAAATATATGAATACAGTCTGTTCAGACTGTATAATGTTACTTGTATGTATATAATTTCAGGGCTGACCACTGGGTGCTGGACAACCAATGGGGGCTCTTCCCTTGGATGTCTATTTTTCCCACTCAGTGTTCCTTAATTGAAGCATGATCCTAATAGTCTTAATCAATAAAAATCTGGAGTCAGATATTGGGGTAAAAACCGAAAGATCAGAGAAGCAGAGCAGAAGCTACCAGAGACTTCTTACTTTCTCTGAACCCTGAGACCGAGAGGGGCGGACATCCTGTCTATGCCCCACCTTATCACTTTCTCTCTCTGTGCTGTCTTCTCACTTCTTGTCTCCTCTCTGTATGGATCTCCAGACCTCTGTGGCTAGCTAGTGGCTAGCTCTGCCCTCTGATCTCCATGTAAGCTCTATTTGTCAGAACACAAACAAAAACTCACAACCCTTAGTTGTCTGAAATTCTTCATTTAGGGTTAAGGTTTGTCTTAGTTGGGGTTTCTATTGCCGTGAAGAGACACCATGGCCACAGCAACTCATTTATAAAGGAACACATTTAATTGGGGTGCCTTGCTTAGAGTTCAGAGGTTCAGTCCATTATCATCGTGGTTGGACATGGTGGCATGGAGGCAGACACGGTGCTAGAGATGTAGCTGAGAGTCCTACATGTTGCAGACAACAGGAAGTGATCTGAGACACTGGACAGTATCCTGAGCATATATGAGACACCCAAAGCCCACTTTCACAGTGACTAACTTCTTCTTCTAGCAAGACCACACCTTCTCCAACAAGGCCACACCTCCTAATGGTCCCACTCCCTTTAGGGGCCATTTTCTTTCAAACCACGGCAAGGTCTCACAAACTTTATCTCTTCCCGTGTTGGCATGACTGTTTGTGTTGTCTCTTTTCTGGTCATGTTTAGGCAGTCATGTTGGTAAGACTTAATGGACATAACTTCTCTGACATTCCTGTGATGTGCTCTCACAGTATATTCTTTCCCTCTGGCCTTTACAGTCTTTCTGCCCCCTCTTCCGCTGTGCTTCCTGAGCCTCAGGTGCAGGAATTGTGTGGTCAATGTATCAACAGATAGGATCGTGTACCACTCCGCTACTTGTTCCCTGCATTTTGATCTGTTGTGATTTTCCTTTCCCCTTCCTTCCTTCCTTCCTTCCTTCCTCCCTCCCTCCCTCCCTCCCTCCCTCCCTCCCTCCCTCCCTCCTTCCTTCCCTCCCTCCTTCCCTTGTTTTCTGAGTTTCTCTGTGTAGCCCTGGCTGTCCTGGAACTCATGCTATAGACCAGGCTAGCCTCTAACTTGGAGATCTACATTCCTCTGCCTTCCAAGTGCTGGGATGAAGGGTGTGTGACACCATAGACCTGATTGTTGTGGTTTTCTGTAATTGTCACCATCCGTTGCAAGGGGATTTTTCTTAGATTAGTGGTCAGTTCTTATGTTTTTAAATGAATGGACATTGTTTATGTAGTTGCTTTATTAGGTTGAAAGTTTTAATTTTCTTTCAAGAAATTGAGTTTATTCTTTGAATAGTTACTTTACTTGTTTAACAAATCAGGACATACATATTAGAGAGGGATGTCTCACTTAGTGGGTGTTCTGGCTTGTTTTTAACACAAACTAGAATCACTATGGAAGAGTGGACCTCAATTGAATAACAGTCTCCATTAGATTGGCCTGTGAACTTGTCCGTGGGACATTGTCTTGACTAATGGTTGATATGGGAAGACACAGCCCAGCCCAGCGTGGCTGGTGTCACTTCTAAGGCATGCAGTTTTGGGTTGTATAAGCAAAGTTGGGATCGAGTAGTAAGTAGCATTCCTCAGTGATCTCTGCCTCAGTTCCTGTCTCCAGATCCCTATTTTGAGTTCCTGTCTTGGCTTCTGTAACTTGTAAACCAAATAAACCCTTTCCACTTCAAGTTGGTTTTGGTTGTGTGCCAGGGTTTAAATCCTGAGATGGTGAAGGGGCATCAGTGCAAAGAAAGATTCTGACCGTCGGGTGGATTGCACTCAAGTGGCCCTATATAGCTTGAGATGTCTTTTTGAGTTTTTTTCTACCAGGCTTGCTTGAACAGCTTTATTATTTGCTGTTATTTTTAACTTTTAATAAATATATCATATTTTAAGAAATACATTGTAATCATTATAAAAGCCTCCATAGTACCCCTTTTAAATGCTTCCCTAGATACGCTTTCCCACCCTCTACACAACCTTCTTCTAGACAGAGAGTTGAGCATTCTTCTGGCTTCTTCAGCACACTCAGAGGCTTCTAGCTAATGTTGTATCAAAAAAGAGAGGGACAACTGACCAGCACAGCCCCCAGGGCAGAAACCTGGCTGCTCCTTCCAATTTCCTTCCCAGAACCCCAGGTCATTTGTGTGTGTGTGTGTGTGTGTGTGTGTGTGTGTGTGGTTTTACAGGGTTTCTTTGTAGCTTTGGAGCCTGTCCTGGAACTAGCTCTTGTAGACCAGGCTGGCCTCAAACTCACAGACATCCGCCTGCCTCTGCCTCCCAAGTGCTGGGGTTAAAGGTGTGCACCACCAGATCCCCAGGTATTAGCTTTCTCCTTTTCTGCTGCAAATGTGCTGTATTGGCTTCCCACTGAGACCCTGCGCCCAGATGTGTTCTGTGCGTGGGACTTGGTAACTTGTGATTGTACTCTTGAAAATTCTAGTCATTTTACCAGAGTGAAACCTGATGAGACCATGGTGTGTGTCCGCTCCTCTGCAGGAGGAGGTCTCCTGAGACCTGCACCACACGTCTCTTCTCATTCCTAGTGGTTTCTGGGTGCAGGGAGAGTCAGAACCAGGGATGGATGCTCTGTGGTGTCGGGAGTCGGGTCCTGTTCAGTGAGCAACCATGTGGAAGTGACTCTCCTTGCATGGAGGGTGCAACATGGTAACCCTGTGACAGGAATGTGGAGGGAGGGAGAGATGCTGAGTGCCGTCACCCTGGCCACCACCTCACACATTCATCACTGTTTCTTTCTCACCGCTTTGTTTTTCCTTTTTCTTTTTTGAGGCATGCTTGTTCCACATAGCCCTGGGTAGCCTGGAGCTCAATAAGTAGACCAAGCTGGCCTCAAACTTGCAGAGATTCCCCTTCCTCTGCTCCCTGGTACTGAGTGCAAAGGAGGAAAACACCACACCCAGCTCCCATTGTGCACTGTATGTTTTGTTTTGTTTTTTTTTTTACTTATTTATGTTCTGAATAAATTAACTTGTTCTCAGGAAGAGACAGTTATGGGCTAACCACCATTGTCTCGTTATTCCCTGGTACAAAGTGGGCTTTCAGTTAATAGTCTTTGAACTGTTATTAAAATTTTAAATTAAGGGACCAAAGAGATGGCTAAGTGCACTGAGGACCCAGGATCTGTTCCAAGCACCCACCTTCTGGTCCAGGGATTCAGATGTTGTCTGGTGGACTCTCTTGGGACGTAAAAAGCTAAGTTGGTAAAATGGTTCATTAGGTGAAGATGTTTGCCGCGTGCGGAGCCATGCGGGCTTGAGTTCCACTGCTGGAACCCACATGGTGACTGCTACAAGTTGTCCCCCACTTCTGTGCCATGCTGTGCACATGTAGCCCACACACACACACACACACACACACACACA